TGCTTCGTATAGACGGCTGCACATTATGTTATACAAGACCAATATAAGCTGACCTCTGTGCTTTGAAAAGTTAATGTAACAATAGGTCCTACATATACTGGACGTGTAGTTTGATATGCGATGTTTCGTTTGCAGGTACATCAATTAATAGAAGCTTTTATACAATTGCAGAATTTATTTTGAGGTTATTATTAAATGTGGATTGTGGGGGGTACTGTGTGATATTTAGCAAATGACCACCCAATTAGGATATAATTAAAAGTTCAATATCGATGCTGTAAAAAAGTAGTTCTATTTTTCCTCAATAATTGGATGCATTTTTTTGTATTAATAGCAACTATCGTGAAATATACTAAATTCTTAAGAGTCCGACTGTGACTTGAGACTAGTAGGACTTTTCTTAGTTCATTTACGTAAATAAGTCGTTATTTCAATAAATTGGATGCACTATTGTCATCAAATTGACCATAGAGATCACCATAGGTGATCTCGATCTTGTCCATTGTTGAGATTGTTAAGATGATGGGATTTTATTGTAATGTTCTATTGTAATATGTGAATTGTTCAATGTTGTCCAAAGAACAAAAATCCTATCAATAATATTTGAATATTGTTTTTTTTTTCATGTGAAATGGCGAGAAATTTGCAGACGGATTACTTGATGGTAGGTAATTTGTGCCGCCCATGAACACATGTAACACAGGAGGAATTCAACACTTGGCGAGAGGCAAGTGCGTTGTCTGTCTTTGTGGATAAAGAGGTCTTGAGGATTTAGTGATTAGGGAAGGAAAGGATTGAGCCTCTGATAACCTTACTCAGAAGAAACACAACGTTGTGGATGTTTCATGCTGGTTGTATAATATGAAGTCGTGGTATTACTTCGGTCGAGAAGACCCATTCGTGCCGAAGCGTGGCTCTCACACGTGTTGATCGACAACTTACTGGGAGCTGTACATAACACTATATATTTGTAAACTATCCCTAATTTGCTACAGAATACTTTCTTCGCATTCATTCTTTTAGCATTCAAACCCGATTAATTTATTCGACCCACCAATAAATCATAGGCCTACAATGAATACAGCTTTATCGAAGTGTAGAAAGATAACGACCGCTTTGTTTGACATTTTCGTTATAAATTATAAACAATACGAGTACTGTTAGGATCCTCCTACGCATCTATTTGATCTCATAGACGTATTTACGATATCAACTATAGTTTTGAGGGTTCCGTGAGTTAATGGAACCTTAGAATATCATAAAGTAGAGATCTTTGGTCAAAAAAAATGTATATTATGAGTATGAAAAAGTGAAAGAGATAAAGTTTTTAGTGAATAAAGAATACATATTTGTTATTCGAGAATGGATTCACAGATAAAAAAATTATTCGACGATATTTAGATACATATATGATCGACAAAAATTCAGATCACTTGAATACCACGACAAAGTTAAAATCGTTAAATTAGCTAAGCGGATATATTTCTACTCCCCTTCAAATTACATAACGCTAGTCTTGATTACTAATTAACTTAATTACCACAATACGTCAGGCACATAAACCAAAATAAATGCTACAGAATCCTCCCCACTCTAATCAAGTTCGTTCTTAAGATTTTTTCAAACTAGATATTTGGATTAAGTACTTACTGCGTCTAAGTCTTATCATTAATCTTAATTGCAGAATAACAATAAAATATTGCTCGGAGGTTGGGCTGTCTTCGTCTAAAACTAGTTCTTATCTTGAAGAAATTAAGGTATAATTTCGATGTTTAGACGAGATAATAATAGTTGTATCGATCGTTACATTACTGGCTCATAAGAAGTGTATCGTGGGAACTTTGGGTTTCGATGAGTTATGTTCAAACGATGGTCTAAGGTTTATCTCGAGTTTTCTAATGTCGGGTACTATTTAGTCTTTATTAGCTTTGATTGTGGACCGATAAAGGAAGTCTAATAGTACTTTCGCAAAGGTCAGTCTTGCTAATGAGTCCTGAGTCAGTAATAAAGCTAACTGTACAAGACAATTATGATTTTTTGCTTCAATCAAAAGCAGTAATTATTGGTTATTTATCTTTTTATTTAAGATATGTGAGTACAATAGTTGGAGGTCTTACATATTGTTATTTAAGTCATCACATTTTAGAATACTTAGCAAATTTGTTTTCAATTGGCAAATCATGTTTTATACTTAATATTTTAACATAGTGTTTGATGCATTTGAACGTAATGATAATTTTCCTTATTGAATTAGAAGCAGCATATGTTTGTAGCGCGACAAAAAATGATGATATTCATTTAACTTAACACTATAAATTTAGAGTGCTTTGTGTAAGTTTTCATCACGTTAGTTTTTTCTTCATTCGAATCTACAATATGGAACGAACACCTTTGACGAACAGACTGACAGACTTATTCAATGTAACTTTTCATTCTTTTTTTTTGTCAGTGGAAAATCATCCAATGACTTCTCCCGCCCAGGGTAAGCCGAGAGAGTGTGTCAGACTCTTAATGACTAAAACCCCCCCCCCCGTTCCTTCTCCTGCTCTGGGCCGAGGTCGTGGTGCCTCATTGCGCTTACCCCGTAGCCCCGGCATTTCAAAAGTACCTATTGTTGTTTTAGTTGGAATAAATGATTTTGAGTTTGACTTTGACTTTGTAATGTCGATTGAAAAAATATTGGCTTTAGCCCTTTGATAGGCTACTTAAGTTGTAGCATACCAATCAGCAACGCTGAACTTTAGAAATTTGACAATCATCGAACGAAAGTAAGCAAACTTGCGCTTTTTTTTCTTGTGTGGTTTAATAGGTATATGTTAACTGACGTTACGAATAACCGGCAATTTTTTTCAATATTTTGGCCTCATTGATCGTTCCTATATTATTAATAAGAAAATAAAATCTATAGTAGGTAATTTTTGTTAGGCCCGAGGGCATTTGACACAGCAGATTTTATCAACGATCACAGAACAGTGATGACTTACAATCACTATCGAGTAACTAGCGGCTTGTTAACTGTCCATAAAAAGGCAAATGTCTCAATTCTCAACGTCGGAACCTTTTTTTTTCGAATCAAGACCATTAATCATGAAGTAATTGAGTGTCAAAATTTTATCATAATAATTGATACTGTATTTAGTTTCGCCCGCAAGGGACATTCGGATATGATATTATATTTTATTAACCACTGGTTCTAGTTAAATTAATATTTCGTAATTTATTTCTTTTTATTTATTAATATCCGGCTACTTTCGCTTTTTGTAAGATTATTTATGTTCTGTCTTATGTGTCACCATTGCAAAATGATAATTGAAATGACATTGTTACGTAGTTAAATGACATAAAGGTATAATAAATTGCAGCACACGGAGACTTTGGCAGCATTCTTAAAATTTTACATTAAAAGTATCTACCAATCTTGGAGCGTCTTGCAGATTCAATCCGATCGTGAGAAAAAAAAAACTGGCAATTCCATGTTTAAGAAAATGTTTCATTATTTAATTTACTCAATATATAATAACTCAAAAAGCAAAATTCAAACGTAATTGATGACGTCACGCATCGTAACTGACTCATACATTAATGCATGCTATCTCCTGCAAGATCTACCTCAACACTGGCCGCTATGAATGACGTTAATGCTATGACCAAACAATTCGAAAATCGTATGGATTCCAAATACAAAAGCTGAATCACAACCACCCGGATGTTATCATACTTTGACATTTAATCCATAATGACATCTGACAGTGCTCTCTGATTGGTCAAAACAGAGCCACAGATGCATTTAAGCGAAAAAATATAAATCTCTAGATAAGCTATGATTCGTTTTGATAGTGTGCCGATACCCTATTAATCACAATTTGGACATATTGACTAGCGATCATTAGGTATATATGTGTGGTAGCTAGTTTTCACACGGAGCGGCCGCCAAAATAATTTAAATACAGGGTGCTGTCAAAGTAATGAGAAAGTAAGCGGGTAATTAGTCCTTATGTAATAAGGTATTTAAATGTCCAACTTTGACCATCTCTTTGACTTGCTTCCTATAAAAAAGCGTGTTAATATGTTTTATTCCTATCCATTACAAAATAATATAAGTTTGATAGCAGCTTAATATGGAAAAAAGGTCTGAATTTGATGCAAATTTCATTAATTATTTACATCTTATATAATCCTACAATACTTTTAAAACCAAAACAACACCAACTACTACAAACGAAAACACTGTACTTACTGATTTTTTTAACCAACCTGTATATCGGCCGCGGCTAACAATAAAACATAGTGATTAATTCATGTGCGCCGGCGCAGGCTAACGAGGAACTATTTGGGGTCAGACGGTACCATTTGTATTTAGACCTACCGGAGCGCTTTGTTATAAAAATTGAAAGTAGTGGCCTATCTGTTACTTTTGCGAGACTTTAAATGCCACGTCTAGTTGTAAAAGATCTATGGATAATACTAATAGGTATTTTATATATAAGTTTTATTTCTGAGCACCTGCGAATTTAAGGTATTTTTTATTATGTGTCAAGTCGTAACGTCGTTAATCAAAGACGATATCAGATTAGATAAAACAGCCTTAAAAGTTGTGTAAATATATTCAAGTTTAGGCTAATTATTGCGAAGTTCGTTGACCAAAAAATCGTAAATGTCTAACTGATAATTGTTCCTATGTTTGTTGTGTCTATGATTTTAGTTACCGAAAAAAATCTGTCTCGCTGTTGTTGGTTTAGCAATAAGCAATTGTATATTGGGCAGGTTTGAGAGTTATGCTTCACAGTAAACTGGTGTGGAATATCGCTTTCGTCAATGTTTCGTTCTTCCGTCAGCAATCCCCAATCCTCAAATCTGGAACCCCTAAAGGGTCCCGGTGCTGCGTTTTTCCCTGGCGTCGGTAGCTTACCATCAGGTGATCAGTCTGATCAATAGCAACCAAATACGTAATCATCAACAATACAGAAATATATAGTATAGCCATATTCTATTTTACTTACCATAGAATGTCCAAGGTATTCCGCTGCATTGTCCGATATGTAAAGCAATTTTCCGTTTTGTGTCATCATCATCAAGAATCCGTTCAGAGCCTGTGAAAAAGAAATAATACTTTTAAAAATACAATTGTAATAAATATTTTGCAGACTCATTTATATTTTCCATACATTTAATGCACCAATAAAATATGTTGTAATGTAATTGTAATGGACAGCAAGAAAAATAACTAAAAAGGTTTGTTTTAGTTCTAATAAGAAGTTGGATCAATACAAGAATCTTGAACTTATAAATAGATTATTCTCATTTGTATATAAATGCAATGTGTATATATATACAAGTTGTAAATACATTACATTGTAAGCCCCGTTCTAATTTCCATTATCATTTCAAACAGCACAGATACGCTTGAGTTACGGATTCGCATAAATTATATCGATGTATACAATCGCCACGCGATCGCTTAGTGCTATTATAACTTAACTTTCTCATAATTTTCATTATCTTCATCCTAAAGGCAAAAAAGATTGGGCAAAATACTATGGCACTCAGTTGCGCTCTTTTTTAGAACAGCATAGTAGCGAAAATTAGATACAATGATTATTGACAAATATTATAGCAAAGTTAAAAACAAAATTGATATGATGCGGGGTTGTTCAAAAAAAACATTATATAAAATGGATTATTATTTGAGAACATTTTTTTGAAATTAATTCAGTTTTATATTTTCATGCATATTTATGGTTACTTAAAAGCATAAGCTTCAAAACGTGAAACTAGAAGGGCCAAATCTCCTTTGGTTTGGAATTAAATACACATGGGTGCGTTTAAAAACATATAAGTGCACATATGTACATATTAAAACCAAACTCGGAATAATCTGTGGATGACACAAAGAATAAATTTATTCCGTTAGGAAATTGCAACCTCGACGATGGCATACGTAGGTATGTAAATGTATTTCAATGTAGTTTAGTGATCAGAGAAATTCAAGGGGTAAACTCGTTTTTGCAGAAAACTTGATCAGAATTGATTCAGATTTGTGAATCACGGTAAATAAGACAGTTTTTGTGATTAGGATTTTTTTTGTAACAAACAAATTAAAGTCCTTCGGAATTGAAATGTGTTGCGTTAGTATTTATTACTTTTTAACTGGAACAAATTATTTTAAACTGTACCTACACATACTATAATAGATCATAATTATTATGTGTTATGTCTAGTACGATACGCGTTTGGGAGGTCAACTAAGGTCCAATAAAAACATACGTAACACACCGATTGATATTGTAAAATGTGACAAATGAAACCGCTTTCCTTACGTAACTAGTCTAACAATTATTAATAGTACATTTGACCTTATAACATGGACACACAAATAAAAAACTCATAATGAATACGTACCAACTAATATGAAAAATGGCTTCCAACTTATGATTAAACCCCCAGAATTAAAGTTAATGAGTGGTTGCCAGTAACCACACCCCGTTAATTCAGCCTTACGCAATGATTCAAATGTATTTTTTATCTCGTTCTTGCGTTAGCGTTTCTCGTAAGTAGGAAAGAGAGATAAATTGATACTTTGAAAAGAACTGGAGAATTTGTAAATGTGAAATTACGTGGCGTGGGAAACGAAGTTTGGAAGGAGTTTTAATTAATTAAGTTAGGGGTTTATGGTCTGGTTTCGCGTGTATCTGTACTTTGTACGTTGTGGTATATTATTTACGGGGAAATATGATTTTTGAACTTTCCAAGGTCGCTGACAGAAACAGAATTTGTTGTTATTTTGTGTTTTTTTTTTCTTTCCATTTGAAGTTAGAGAAGGTTGGTTGCTTAATTGGTTTAATATTTGAATTAAGATGAATTCTGGATTTCAGGCTGTTAAGTAATGACTAAACACGACCACATGTGAAAAGTGGTCACTAAATTGTCTACATTGAAGAATTATATAATCGGTTATAAAATTGGTATACTCAACACTAAACAAAATAGTTTTTTTTAATACAAACAATTTCCTTTAATTGTTTGTGTTATTGATACTCTTTCCTTGAATTTTAATCAATACACACCACTCAATTTTATATGCAAGTAATAAAATGTAATAAACATTGTTCATGTATTTCAAATATGTATTATATTTTTATATAAATATTATATAATGTATTTATATTATATTTCGATCTTCTATCAAGGTGAGTAGAAACGTTGCGGGAGCAATAATGAACCACGACCCGATTTGGAGTAGGATAAGGAACGAGTAAGAGTGTCACGCTGATTGTCACTCCAACCAGAGCGGCATACTCACTTTTGAAAATCCGAAGTTTAGTGAAGTAGACGGCTGGTGGTTGATGTCAAAGCGTTTGAAAACTGTGAACAAAAGAAAATAAAAAATATTATTAAAATATACAAGAAACGTTTTATGTACTTACTACGTCTAATGCAATACGATCTTCGATAAAAATATATAAATATATATCTATATTATGTAATGTTTTATATACTACGAATGAAATACAATAATGCTTTTGCTCTTCGACCGTGTCAAAACGTAGCGTCTATTTTTACCCAAGTAATGTCTTGTGTCCTTTCTTCTCAACTAGTCAAGTTTAATAGTGTTATTAAAATGTAAAAATCGATAATCTTTAGTGAATTTTGATTGTATAAGATCGTAACGTATTATGTCAAGAGGTCTTTTAGGCAAATCACAAGATTGTTTGTGAAAAATATGCAAGAAAAATATTAAGTTTAGTTTATAGTAAAATCAATGAAAGGAAAGTCGAAATTATTAGGTATTTTCTGAACCAGGTTTTGACATAAACCATAATACAGCAAAACACAAAATACTACTTTTTTAAATTCGTATATAAATATTTTAAAACATTGATATAAGTAATGTACGAACAATCGATAACATTCGGAGCACTACACTACTAGATACACATCTCTATTGTAACTATCGACTATCGAGTATTGTACTCTCCGGCTCGAGAGATCATTGTGGTACCTTTCTCTCGGCTATGAAAAATGACGACATTATAAAAATGAGTTTAACTAGCATCAACAACAATAATTCTTAAATGTCGTTATAAAAAAAACTGGAGCAAATCGTTTAGCGGATAAAAAACTATGACAGTTTGTCATAATATCTCGCTTATTTTTTGTAGAGAATGCAGCATTGTGTTTTAGTGTGTTGGACTAGTAAAGTTAAATTTTTAGTTCCATTAATCAATGTTTTCATTATAACACGAAGGAACGTAAGAGAGTTTTTACACATACTTTCGATTTAAAAAAAAACATAGATACTCCTTCTTTTCATGTCGTGTCGGGTCGTGACCTTGACGATTTTTTTTCTGGTTCGTCATCTTGTCCTGTTTTTTGCGTAAAGTTCGTAATTAGCTTTAAATATCTTGAAACGAACATATGTCATATAATAGGTCATAAGTACCAAGTAACTAGTACCTTCCCAGATCTTTGGCTTAAAAATCAGTATGAAAGCGCGTGCCGTTAAAACTGCTCTTATGTTTATTAGACAGTATTGCAAGTAGCAAAAGCAGTCAGACTAGTGTCACTTACTAACGTGTGGTATTATTATATATCAAACTGATATAGTTCAGTGAATTTAAAAATCGGAGAACAAAATGCAATCTTATAGAGAATGATATTATAAGTTGATCTATGACACATTAGGAGGAAGCTTGAAAAAACAAAAAGTATCTATCCGAATATCGACAACATAAATAGCAATTGCACCGACTAACAAGTCAGATAAACATTCATTCTAAATTTAAACACTCTATCTTGATTCATTAAAGCATTAGCATAACCCATTAAAGTGATCCACGCCATAATTAATCGACCAAATAAAAAGATAGCCAATCACAGTTGTGACACTAGCTTCTAAATTCAAATCGATGTCATTGCGCACTCACGGGACAAACCGCATTCGTAATTAATCGATAAGTATCGATCCATACTTTCTCGACCGGCGGCCAGGAAGCATCGATAAACAATAAGCGAGCGACCACCCGATTATATCGATATATCGATAAGTTATCGGTGGAATTATTCCCGTCTCTAATGGGCCCGCCTCAACGTAAGGGATTTACACTTTCTAAAGTATCTCAAAAGGGTTTCTGTGGAGGATGGATTAGAATATTGATAAGTTATAGTGGGTTTGGCTCACATTGTACGCAATTATTGTTGAATGTTAGTTTGTATTGTAAAATATATTTTATACACTAGGTACTGTCGTAACATTGATGTGTTAGATCATTGAAAATTTATTTTTAGTTTATTTGTATATTCCAATTGATATATTTAATATTACTCATTTGACAATGGTGATTATAATGAATTGATTTCTACTAAGATCATGAAAAATGAAATATGGAAATTACTTAAATAATTCACTCAATTGGCATAAATTAAACAAAACATTACAATGCCAAAAATATAATAATAAAACAACATTATATTCAAACCAAAGAAAACTAAATCCAATAAGAAAATATTGGCACGTCTTCGTCACAAGATATCGTTGGCATTCTCAGACCATTAGATAAACATCAGAGCCTGCCGCGAACGATAGTATACATTACGTTTTAATAATACATTCTCAACCGTTACGTTGCTTTGAACTACGATATGTATGCGAAAATCATTGTTTATGATGTATTTGAATGCCGACCGGTATACTGTGGAACTGTTGTGAGTTATTCTTGATTTCTTCGAGGTATGCTACGTTTTTTGCTTTGATAGAAAATAGGATGGATGGATTCGAATTGACTCTGGTTGCCAGTGTCTTTAAAAAGGTTTTTTTATGTGTTCAAATAAAAACAACTATTACACTTATTAGGTGTATAACAATTATTAGGTGTTGTTTTTATTTTTGAATTTATTTAATTTATTTCATTCATAGGCCTACAAAACTGCTTACGCAGTTTATTGTGATGTTATTGAGCCTCTCTCTATATTAGTTTTATTATGCTTCTCTCGTCGTAAAGGTCTAATTTAGCTAATATACTGACCGAATAATTGATAAAAAGGGTTGCCTTAGAGACAAATGATGGCAGTGCCTTAAGAGTTATCACGCCAG